ACGGACTAACTACAGACTTATGGCCATTTTGGGAAATATTAAACAAATGTTTTGACTAAGCTATCTCATGAGCTGAACTACCACTTTAAAATAAACACATTCTTCGACTAAGTTTCCTTAAGAGCTAAGCTATAGACTTGCGGATGTGTGGAATGCTAATGAAAGCGAACATTGAACACAACTTTCAAGAACAACTAACCTTGTCTGCATATCGGTGATAATGGAGAAGGTTCTCATCTAAAGTGATTCTAACTAGCGGATATGTAAGTTTAAACAAACTTGTTCAGTGATGTGTAATCTGATGTCACTTAGTTGGAAGAAGATGTTTAATACAGAGATGAGAAACTGTATACACAGGTAACCTTTTACATCATTTGATGTCCAATTACTAAAGAGAGACGAGTCCACTCTAATTGCTAGATAAATGACCTCAAAGTCTACCCCCATGAGTTTGAATAGATTATGCTGAAAAACCATTTAAAAAAGTGAAGTCTCTGGACCAAAAGTGTGGTTGCTCCTGACAACAGTTTTGCCCCCGACATAAGAGTTGTTTCCAGGCTCAAGGCTGCTCCAGTTCTCTCAGATATATATATATATACAAGAAAAACAGAATGGCAGGTTATTTGTACATGCAAGACTTGCACTACACTAACTCCTTGTAAGTTTTAATTGATACTCTCCCTTAACTAACAATATTGCCATGAGGAACCATGATGTATAATGTAAACGTTGTTAAAGTTAACTAAGTAATGTGGATAATGTGTTAAGGTTAGAACGTTGTGGAACTAATAAATGTTACTGAAAGTATAAACCTTTGTGGTAATCAAGTGTTAATTAAGTATATATCTTTTTGTGGAGAATTGGGCTCAGTATCTTTATTCTTTGCTTTATTTGTAAATTTCCTTGAGTTGGTTGACTTCTGTACCCACTCGTGACTGCATACCCTGGGTTTTTAAATAAATCTATTGTAACAGGTATCTTGTCACCCCAAACGATGCTCGCTCGTTACAATACTCTCGAGAGCAACAAAGCACATGCACAGAAATAAGCCGACTTGACCCTTGCTCTGAGAATACAATGTGGAATTTATTAGCTTTTGTATCCTACAGTATTTACCACAAGAATTCCTCAGAGTAATAAGATTGCACTTTGAATCTGTGAAAACGTTTATTACAGTATGTGGTTCGGAGCTGATCTGCTAAACATCAGAAGTGTTTAAATATTAATCATTATTCTGTTATTTTTGGAATTCAGCTGTATACCGTACAGGCATACAAATATACTGCCTGCTTTATAAAGTGGCCATATAGAGAATGAGACTAAAGACACTGCCCTTAATCCAGAATATCGAGATGCCCATTATTTCAAGATTTTGGTTACAAATAGTAGAAAAAAACAACACTGAAAAGGTCTGTCCATAATGGTTTTGTGCCCATTAATCGAGGTTCTACTGTACATTATATTCTCATAGATCAATTATAAGATATATTCTCATAGATCAAATATATGCAAGTTGTAAGGTACATTATATTCTCATAGATCAGTTATATGCAAGTTATAAGGTAAATTATTTCTCATAGATCTATTATAAGGTACATTATATGCTCACAGATGAAATATATGCAAGTTATAAGATACATTATATTCTTATAGATCAAATATATGCAAGTTGTAAGGTATATTATATTCTCATAGATCAGTTATAAGCAAGTTATAAGGTACATTATATTCTCATACTTTAGTTATAAGCAAGTTATAAGGTACTGTTGCGTCAGCGAGGTCACGTGACCTATTTTCTAGAACTATCTTGTTCCTTCGTGAATGCCCTAGCATTTACTAGATATATGTTTTTCTGGTATATAAATAAGATGCTCACAACGTGACAAGATAATGTGTGTAGGTAGTGAGTAATTGAACTGCAGAGAGAGACGTATTGTTGAAGTTCATTGTTAAAACATTTATTATAGAGCGACTGTTGAAAATAAGTGTATCGGTAAAGTTATATTCAGAAAGAATAAACCAGTTTTATTAAGTAAGGACTTGTGTCGCTAAAGTTTCGTCGGAACGAAGTTACGGAAAATTAATTAACAAACGAAGACGTAACAGTACATTATCTTATCATACTTTCATTATAAGCAAGTTATAAGGTACATTATATTCTCATAGTTTAGTTATAAGCAAGTTTTAAGGTACATTAATATTCTAATAGTTCAGTTATAAGCAAGTTATAAGGTACATTATATTCTCATAGTTTAGTTATAAGTAAGTTATAAGGTACATTATATTCTCATAGTTTAGTTATAAGCAAGTTATAAGGTACATTATATTCTTATAGTTTAGTTATAAGCAAGTTATGAGGTACAGATAGTGGACAGAAAAATGGAAACACCTGAGTAAATAAGGGACAACAAGTATATGCAGTGCAGAGGCTACCACACAGGTGTGGCTTGTCCATCAGTTAAGTAGATAACATCCAAGCATGCATAGGGTCATGTATAAAAATGCTGGACAGGCCTGGTTGCCTATAATCATGGCTAGCATGAATGCAAGAGGTTACCTCAGTGACTCTGAAATTTAGGATATAATCAGTAAACATTACAAAGCTTTCATATGCAAAATATCAAATTTTATTTATTAAATCTTAAGGTTTGTAAAGCAATATTTTTCTCGTGCCTTTTTTTTTCTTTTCGCATGTTGCCTATCTAATATGCAAAGTAATTTTCATTTTAAAATTAAAAATACTGTTATGCATCAGAAAATTTTCAAATTTCACATGCGAAATCTTTATAATGTCCAGATAGTTATCAAACATTTCTTAAGAAAAAACTTTATATGTTATCTATTATTTTCACTAATGAATCTCTGTTATCTGTTATTTTCACTAACGAATCTCTGTACGGGTTCGGTAGATTTGACCGATCTCATAAAGACCATAAAATATTAGGAAATATATGTACATTATGGCTCTTTCATTCTAGAATGAAAACATAAATGTTTAAACTAAATAGTTTAAATATCCAAACATTATACACTTATATATATATATATATAT